TGCCCAGCTAATTTTTTTTTTTTTTTTTTTTCTGTAGAGACAGGTTTTTTGAATTCAGCCCCTGCTATGTTGCCCAGGCTGAATTCAAACTTCTGGGCTTATGTGATCCTCCCACCTCGGCCTCCCAACATGTTGGAATTACAAGTGTGAGGCACTATGCCTGGCCTCTTTTCTTTCCTCTAGAGACAGGGTCTTACTCTGCCACTCAGCCTGGAGTACAGTGGTATGATCACAGCTCCCTGCAGCCTCCACCTCCCAGACTCAAGCAATCCTCCCACTTCAGCTGGGACCACTCTTGGGCTCAAGTGATCTTTCCACCTCAACCTACCAAATTGCTGAGATTATTGGTGTGCGCCATCGTACCCGGCCTCAGTTACCTCTTGATTTCTACCCTCTTCTCTTCCCCCTGCCCTTAACATAAAAAAAGCCTATCGGCCAGGCAAAATGGCTCACACCTGTAATCCTAGCACTTTGGGAGGCTGATGTGGGTGGATCACCTGAGGTCAGGAATTTTGAGACCAGCCTGACCAACATGGCAAAACCCTGTCTCTATTAAAAAATACAAAAATTAGCTGGATGTGGTGACACCTGCCTGTAATCCCAGCTACTCAGGAAGCTGAGGCTGGACAATCACTTGAACCCGGGAGGTGGAGGTTGCAGTGAGCTAAGATCGCACCACTGCACTCCAACTTGGGTAACAAAGCAAGACTCTGTCTCAAAAAAAAAAAAAAAAAATGTGTACTGACTTTAGGTGGTGCTTCAGAACAACAGTCCAATGTCTTCTTGGTTTGCTGTCTGTTGGAATAAACCTGTTTTTCCTCCCACCAGTTCTCATTGCTCTTGTTTTCCTTTCAAACATCGAGCCACTGAGCTTGGGTTGTTGTTACATTGAAAGTGTATCCACCTTTCTCCACCTCCAGCAGCAAGACCAAGACAAGCATGTCCCAAATTGGTCCACTTGTCTCCCTCCCTCCCTCCCTCCCTCCCATCTTCCTCCAGGCAGGTCACATTCTGGACTGCGGACTGCGGGCTTGGGGCTTCCCTGCTGCCCCTCTGGCTCCCCCTACTGTCCATGTGCCATTCAGCAGCCAGAGAGAGTTTTTTGTCAAGAGATGGGCGGGGTGGTTCTCACTGTGTTGCCCAGGCTGGCCCTGAATTCCTGGCCCCAAGGGATCCTCCCGCCTCAGCCTCTCAAAGCACTGGGATTACAGGCGAGGGCCACCGCCCCTGGCCCAGAAGGAGCTTTTAAAGCTCCAATATCACATTCCTTCACAAGTGCTCAAGTGGCTTCTCCTGGCACTTGGACTAAAAGCCAAAACTCCAAAAAGCCAGAGTCAACTATCAGCACAGTGCCTGACATGAGCAGCTGCAGAAGTCAAAAGAGAGACTGAGGCCTTTCACAGCTCCAGGTAGAAATCCCTTCTAAGCCCTCAAGATGTGATAAAAGTAAATAAATAAAATAACACAGGAACAGAAAACCAAATACCATATGTCCTCACTTATAAGCGGGAGCTTAATGATGAAAACACATGGACACAAAGAGGGGAACAACAGACACGGGGGCCTGGTAGAAGGTGGAGGGTGGGAGGAGGGAGAAGATCTGTAAAAATAACTAATGGGTACTAGTTTTAATACCTCAGTGATGAAATAACCTGTACGACGAACCTCACGACACAAGTTTACCTATGTAACAAGTCTGCACTTATACTCCTGGACTTAAAAGTTAAAAAATAAAAAACATTTAAAAATTAAATTAAACATATATATATATATATATATATATTTTTTTTTTTTTTTTTCTGAGATGGAATCTCACTCTTTTGCCCAGGCTGGAGTGCAGTGGCATGATCTTGGCTCATTGCAGCCTCCACCTCTCAGATTCAAGAGATTCTCCTGCCTCAGCCTCCTGGGTAACTGGAATTATAGGCGGCTGCAACCATGCCCAGCAATTTTTTGTATTTTTAGTAGACATGGGTTTCACCATGTTGGTCAGGCTGGTCTCAATCTCCTGACCTCAACTGATCCACCTGCCTCAGCCTCCCAAAATGCTGGGATTACAGGCTAGAGCCACTGCACCCCGCCTAAATAAATAAATTTTTTCAAAAATTTTAAAAAAGGAATCCCAGGTTTTAAAACCTAACCCCAGCCACCTAGACTCACAGGAAAGATCTGGAACTGAGTCTGAGATGGCTGTTCTGCTGCGCGGAAGTCAGGGCCCATGGCGGAATCACCTCCTTCTTCATCCTCCCTGGTTGCCTCGGTCTCTGGGGTCCCCAGCTCGGTTCCACTGTCAGGGTCCAAGCTCCCCTGAGAACATTAGGACAGACCAAAGTTTTCCCTAACCTCCTTATTGTCTGCCACCCCAAACCCTTGGGGTCTCCCCACTTCCAGCCCCAACCAACCTCTAGGATGGTGGCATTGAGGCCAGTAGTCACAGTGGAGGTGATGACCAAAGGCATGGGGGTCGGAGGCACATTTGGAGCTGGAGTCTCTGTCTTGGGGATGTCAGTGGAGGTCTGGAACAGGGATGGAGGCATCCTTGGGCCTGGGGTCAGGGCAATCAAGACATCATCCCCAGGAGCTCCCAGTCTGGGGACAGGGCCAGAGAAGGCTCCCCAAAGAGCACCAGCGGAGACAGAAGTATGCTGGCTGGACCAGGGCTGCCAGCAGAGGGAGCCATCGTGGATGGAGGAGGTGCAGAGACCGGCTGGCCCCAGAGCCCAGTGGTCAAGGTCAAGGTCTGACACTCAGGGCCAGGCTCCCGGAAGCCTGTCCCACATGTCCTCTCCCAAGGCAGAATTCAGCGGCCAGCCAGCCAGGCCACAGTCAGAGAGGGAATGGTGACTCCTTCTGGCCTGGACAGCTGCAGAGGAACTGGGTCAAGGCGGAGGCGGGGGGATGTGGGAAGAGGGTGGCAGTGTCCCAGATGAGGGGACGAGGCTGAGGAAGGGGCTGAAGAAGGGCCCACTGCTCCTGGTGTCTGTATTCTGGGCCAAGATCTGGAACTGAGATGCAGTGTAGCCAGTGACACCCCCCCAGCCACAGACCCCAAGCAATGACCCCCACCCAGGACCCCCCAACCCAGTGACCCACCAAGAATGACCTACATCAACAGAACCCAATGATTCTAGAACCAATGACCCATAAACAATCCCTCCCACTCCCATCAATAACGTCAACCCATATACCCATATCGTCTCCATTCAGTGATTTTCCCAACCAGTGATCTCAACCAGTGACACTATTTTTTTTTTTTTTGAGACGGAGTTTCACTCTTGTTACCCAGGCTGGAGTGCAATGGCACGACCTTGGCTCACCGCAACCTCCACCTCCTGGGCTCAGGCAATTCTCCTGCCTCAGCCTCCTAAGTAGCTGGGATTACAGGCACGTGCCACCATGCCCAGCTAATGTTTTGTATTTTTAGTAGAGACGGGGTTTCACCATGTTGACCAGGATGGTCTCGATCTCCTGACCTCGTGATCCACCCGCCTCGGCCTCCCAAAGTGCTGGGATTACAGGCTTGAGCCACTGCGCCCAGCTGACACTATCTTAACTATTAGCACTAACTAGTGGCTCTCCAACTAATAACCCCCATCAGTGACCCCTAATCAATTGTTCCTCTAGTGATGCTTCAGCAATGAACACCCATACATGAGCCCAACAAAAGCGTCCTAACCAATGACCCCCAAACAGTAATTCCACCTATCAGTGACTTCCTAATTAATAACCCCTCAGAGACCCCCAAACTAATGACTCCATCCTCGACCCCCTGAAAATCCAACTTGTGGCCCCGATGAGAGACCCCACGATGACTTCCAGTCAGCAACCACCCACCAACAACCCCCCAGTCGCTGATCCTAATCTAGAGACATCAATAACACCAGTAATGGTTTCCATCAATGACCTTCCACAGTGATCCCCAGCTACGCGCACCCCAAACACTGACCTCAATTAATATCTCCCTAAATTATTCCCCCTTACCCAGCCATCTCTATAAGTGAAGCCAAATAGTGCCCCCAACTAATGACTCCCAATGAACAACCATCCTCAGAGATGGGAGAGCTCATGAGATAGGACCCACCCCCACCCTGTCATCAGTCACCCTGACAGTCATCAGTCAGCTGAGGAAGTCAGAGCTCATGGATCACAGACCGAGAAAAAGATCATAGATTGAGGGGACCAGAATTAGTGGGGATCAGAGGCTAGAAGTCAAGCACCAAGACCAGAAGTCAGACAGTCAAGACCGGAAGTCAGGCAGCCATGACCAGAAGTCAGGTGGTCAAAGCCAGAAGTGAGCGGTCTCAGGGCTCTTACCTGGTTCTCCATGGAGTCAGGCAGTGGACTTGAGGTCAAAATTTCCTTGTTCTTCTTTTTCCTGCCCTTCCCCTTGCGGCCTCGCCCTTTCTTCCTCCCTTTTCCCTTCCCCTTCCGCCGAGGACGAGGGGTTTCTGGTTCACCCTGGGGAGCCTGGGAGGAGGGTCCCAGTCAGGTCTAGAGCATTCCGCCAGCAGAGACCCCATCATTCAGGTCACCTGGGGTGAGGCTTGCTCATGGCCCATGGGTCCTCACTCAGCCCTGTGACCTGCAGTCAAGGTTATTCATGTAACTTGGGGTCAAGGTTGGCTCAGGAATATGACTTGAGGTCGAAGTCATTCGTGCCTGGGATCTGTCTGAGGTAATGGGCCACTTAGTGCCATGTCTGGGGGATGAGCATTCACTCTTTCCAGGGATCTGGAGCCAGGGAGGACCCAGCCTGTGTCCTGAGGTTAGGAGTGACGCAGCCCCTCACTCACCTCTGTGGCTGCCGGCACCAGGCTGTCACAGCCGGGGAGGTACCGCTCACAAGCCTGGAAGGCAGCCTGAGGATCTGGACTTATCAGCAGCTCCTGAATGTCTCCCTGTGGATCGGGGGTGTAGGAGTCAAGGAAGGCAGGCAGAGGCTTACTCTGCCCCCATTCCCCAGCACTCCTGCCCACCTACTGGCACCAAGGTGTGATGCTCCCCAACTCAGAGCATGCTAAGTATAAGGAGGAGGTGACCCCATCACAGCCCTAGTAATCCCTCTACCCACTGTAACTAAGAGAAGAAAAGATCCTATCGGGGGCACACCCGATCCCAACCACAAGCCACAGCGCACACGTCTGCCCCGCTGGAGGTGCATTGGTTCCTTCATTCTCAGGAACAAGTTGAGCCAGGTGCCCTTCTATGTACTGGGGATAAGGAGGAGCATGAGATGGATCAAGTCCCTGGCCTCCCAGAGGTGACACACATCACGGTCACACAGAGCTAACAACGGTCCCCACACCCAGAACACACATCACACAGCCACACAACAGCGCTGCTTACCAGCTCCCAAAGTCATAACTGCCCACACACGATCACACACTATCACAGCAACCAGGACCATCTCAGGTCACAGACTCAGATGCAGGACACCACCAGATCTTTACACAAAAGCCAAGTAGGTGTCGTCACAATTTATGGTCTTGGCCAGGCTTAGTGGCTCATGCCTGTAATCCCAGCACTTTGGGAGTTCGATGCGGGTGGATCACCTGAGGTCAGGAGTTTGAGACCAGCCTGGCCAACGTGACAAAACCTCATCTCTACTAAAAATTCAAAAATTAGCCAGGCGTGGTGGCGCATGCCTGTAAACCCAGCTGCTCAGGAGGCTGACAATCACTTGAACCCGTAAGATGGAGGTTGCAGTGAGCTGAGATCAAGCTGCTACACTCCAGCCTGGGCGACAGAGTGAGACTCCATCTCAAAAAAACATATGTATATATATGTTTTATATAATATATATATAACAAGTGTGCACTCAATTCCCTCAGCTTCCTGGGGATAGAAACTTGACACCTTCCTTCTCCAATATCCTCTCCAAATTCAGGCTGTAGGCAAAACATCCCACCCTCTGCCTCAGGTTTCCCCATCACTGAACTCCTACCTCAAAAGTCTTCTCCCCAAGGTCCTGGGTCCCCAGCATAGTGAGTCCAGCTATGCTGATAAATCGAGGGCCATGGCCCAAGACAGGGGGCTGAGCTTCACAGTCAGCGACCAGGGTCACCATCCCACCATCTATGCTGACCGCCACACGGTGCCACCTGCAAGGGGATGGCCTCAGTGAGGGTCTCCTCTCCCCACCCCTCATCCACGGACCCCCGCCCACTCTCCCCATGCTCACCTGCCATCTGTGAGGTTGACCTGCTGGGGGAGGGGGCGGAAGGGGCCACCTAGGAGATCCAGGGCTGGCCCCAGTGCCAGGCCCAACTGCCGGGCACCCGTTTCATCATAAATGGACAGCAGGACAGACTGATTGGCTGGCTGGCCCCGCAAGGTGATCAGCAGGGAGAAGTTCTCAGGAAAGTGGCCATCTGGGTGGGCAGACGGAATGGGGCAGCTCAGATGGCTCGGCAGTGTCTCCCTCCAGGGTGACCCCCAGGCCCTCTGCTCCGACTTACCTGGAAAGAGTTCCCACGTGGGGATGCCAAGTGTGCTGGCCTGGCCCACTCTGAATGCCCGGTCACCCTCTGGGGTCCTCTGAGGACAGAAGCCAGGCCCCTCAGGGACCCCAGCCTGGCCTCCCCGCACACCCATGGCCTTCAGCACATCCACCGGATCTGCAGCAGAGAGAAGGTTAGGGGGCAGAGTGGGGAACAGCTAGAACAAGCCCAGGACTCCAGGATAGAGGCTCAGCAGCTCAGCGGTTTTTTGGGGGGCTCAGACTCTCCCTCCCTCCTCCCACCATGTGTTTGTGGCTCAGGAAGAAGGAGCAGGCCCAGGCCCTCAACACCCCCCACCTCCTCACCACCCCACAGATGTTCCGACCTCATCAGCCTGTTGACTCTGGGTTTTTTTTCCCCTCAGTTTTTGGTGAGAAAAAAAGTTGACCTAGTTCTGGGATGAATCAAAGCTTCCTGGCCTAAGCCCCAGAGTGGAACTGTCCCCCTCTCCCCACTCCCCCGCACAGGCTCCCTAGGGCTACATCCCAGGCCTGGAGCCCCCTTGCCAGGGGAAACACGCATGGAGAGGAGGGGCTTCTAGCGTGTTTTCTTCCCCCACTTCCTCCCTCTCTCTAACCTCTTCCTTTGACCACCATCACCCACAACCTCTTCCTTTTGACTATGGCCACTTTGGACCTCTTTCCCCTGACCACTCTTCCTCTGACCGTGCCCACTAACTTCTCTTTCTGGTTACCCCCTCTGACCCTCTGATCTTCTGCCTGACCCCAGCCTATTCCCTCTGATCTCCTTTTCCTGCCTGACCCTAATCTCCTCCCTCTGACTTTCCCCTCCGACCTCTTCCCCTCTGATTTTCCCCTCTGACATCCTCCCTCTGACATTTGCTTCCGACCTCCTCAGTCTTAGTCTCCCCTCTGACCTCCTCCCTCTGACTAACCCCTGACCTTCTCTTACTACCTATTCAGATCTCCTCCATCTGACCTGTAATCTCTCCATTTCATCTCTCTGACCTCCTTCTGACAAGCTGTCTCTGATAATCTTCAGGCCTCCCCTCTCTGACCCTCTCCCTGTTTCATCCCAGCTAATGAGAGGACTGGTCTGGTCCAACAGTTCCTAATCTAGGCCATGCTACCAGCCCCACCCCGGCAGGCAGCCCAGCCAGTGCTAAGTGGAACCACATGGCTGGGGCAGGGGCGGGTGGGGGCTTCCCCTGGGCCCCAAGCCCCTGCCTGACCCCCCTCCCCCCACCCTCAGCAAACTGTCCCACTGACCCCCTGCCCCAGCCTCTTGGCAGAAGCTAGATTCTGTAGAAGCTGGATTCTGCCGAATCTGCCATGACCTCACCCCTGAGGGTGGCTCTGCTGATCTCACCACGGGGAGCTGAGGGGCGGCAGTGGTACAAGACGTTGGGGAGGCAGGGGCTTGGATGAAGGACCCCATTCCTGTTCTTTCTAGGTCAGAACCCTCATTTTCCAGACTCCTCGGAGGCCTGTTTCAGCCTCTGTTTTCTCTTGCCTCCAATCTCCTCTTTCCATCCCTGCCCTCCCTCTTGCTGTCCCACTTTCTGTGCCTGTCTTTCCAGGCCTCTATCTGTGTCGAAATCTGTCTTTCATTCTCTCTCTTTTCTCAGTCTCTCTCTCTCCACCTTCCTTCCCCAACCCATCACCCAACCCCCATCTCTAATTGCCTGTTTTGTGGCTGGGCTGTCATTAAGAGAAATCTGGGTTGCAGCCCCCTGGGGCTGAGATCTGGGCTCCCAGGCTCTGCTGACCACAAGAGTCACTCCCCCACGGAACAATCATCCCAGCTGCACCATCTCAGGCTGGGGCCCGGGGGAGGATTGAGATCAACGACTTCACCTAGCCTGGAGGCCCTTCCCTGACCCCAGACCCCAGCCCCTCTGCAGGGGAAAGAGGGTCTTCCCTCAACTACCACTCATTACATTAAGAAAGTCCTTCCCGGCATCCAACTCAAAGATCTCCTGCTTGAAACTTGTGCCCCTTCTGGAATGACCTTTCAGAAACTGACTGCCCTTTCTTTTCATAGCTGGCTTCATGACAAAAAGGCACACAAGCGGCATTGAGTCCTGCCTACAGGGACAGGGTGTGTGTGGGGGGGGGTCTGTCGGGGGCCCAGTCTGCCTCCTGCCACTCTCCCCTGTGCTGGTCAGGGCCCTCAGGAAGATGCTGTGTGGGGTATGGGATGTGGAGGGACAGAGGCAGGGACTGGGTCAGGGCATAACTGGGAACCCCCCCCAGGTATGCAGGTGGGAGAGCATTGGTGTATGTGCAAATAGCATGAGTGTGTGTGCAAATATGTGTATGTGCATGAGATTGTGTGAACGTGGGTGAGTCTGAATGGGCCAGGCAGAGAATGGCTGGTCCTGTCATTTCTCTAGGTGTCAGTGTGTGCAAATGTTTGGCTTCTAATGGAGGGATTAGGTGCAGTTGCTTGACATGTGGCCATGCTGTGCCTGCAGCGAGCCTGCAGGTGAGTCTGTAACACCTCGGACTGCTGATGAGGGAATGCTGCTCTGTGAGAGTATGACCCAGTCGGCAAGTGGGTGATGGGTTGTGAATGCTGACCGTATTTGTTCGGATGCCAGGGGCAGCATGTGTGAGAATTTGAGCTCGTGGGAGGGTCATAAAAGCTGGGTCCGTGTGGCGGGTGGCTGAAGGGGGTTGCCTGGACACGGTGTTTCACATTCTTAGTGTCCCAGGGGACTTATATTCAGTGTGAGATTGCACGACCCTGTGGATGTGTGAGCATGGGAATGGGGCATAGGCCAATCAGGAACTAACCACATGTACAGGCCCCTCCCTGGACTCCAAAGTGAGAAGTGTGCTGTGGGGTGTGTGTGTGTGTGTGTGTGTGTGTGTGCGTGTGTTGGGAGACTGAGCTCACCTTAGAAAGGGATTTCCAGGAGGGCCTAGCCTGGAGCCTCTCAGATAAGGGAAGCCCATCTTCACCACTTGAGAGGTCACGCCATCCCCTGACTCTCCGAGCGCCCCCCACTCCGAATCCTGCGGGGCGGGACAGGGCGCCCAGCCAGATACTCGCAGCTGGGCGTGCGTCAGCGCTGACTCACCCATCCGGCGGCCCCCGGGACCCCTGAGAGGCCCCTGAGAAACTCCTCGGGAAAAACACCCAAGGCTCCAGCAGCTGGGGTTGGGGGGAGCAACTTCCACTCCCGCCCCGCCCTGCGCCCCGCCCCGCCCCGCCTCGCCCCTCACCGCAGCCCTCCCCGAGGCCCTGTCCATGGTGCTGACAGCGGCTCTGGGGAACGCGGGGTGGGGGAGGGGGCAAGAGGGAGGGAGAAGATGGGCGCGTGCCAATTTGGGGCAGAGGAGGAAAAGGGAGAATGGGGCGAAGCCATTTAAAGAGACGCAAAGGAAACTGTGGGTTACCGAAGAGCACCCTATACTTGTCCCCACTCAACTTCACCCTCATGGGCAATTATTTGCACCCCAAAATCACAATTACACCCCTCAGAGGGGCACTCAGAGACACACAATCACGTCCACAACCACACACACGGTTACCCTCGAAAATCAGCACATAGACAAGCACACACGTGCGACTCACCTGTCGCAATACACGCACTCAGCACTGCCCTGCCACTCATAGTCACACTATCGTCATCAAGCCGCCATGCAAGCACACACGCAACTTCACTCCAAATGCACACACATGGCTACACGCACATGCACACACGCACGCACCTGCACACTGCATGCATTCCCGCGCGCCCGCCAGAAAACGCAGTCACACATCCCCACCCCCACCCCCGAGCTGTCACATCCACAAATCGCCCAAAGTCGGACACTCAGGCGCCCACATCACACCAGGGCCGCACACAGCACGCACACCCTCCCCCTCTACGCCCCTCCTCCCCTCGCTCTTTTAGGGCCTCTCTGAGTGGTGTACCCTGGGTCCCCTCTCTCTTCCCTCCCGGCTCACCGGCCTGCGTCCCGGACAGAAGCTGCAGCGCGGCCAGGAGCAGGCAGAGACCGGCCCGCGGCTGGCCCAGGCCCCGGCAGTTCCCCATCCCTGCGGAACCCACGGGCAAGGCGGGGGACCGGACGGGGCGGCAGCGAGGCGCGGCGGCTCCTCGGGCTCGGTGCAGTCACTCGCGGCGGCCGCTCCTCTCGGGGTCCTCGGGAAACTGCTGCCAGAGACCCCGCCCCGGCCTCGCCCTGCGCTCCAGAGCCCGGCCAGGCGGGGCTCGTTGGAGGGGGGCCGCTGACAGCTGGACCGGGGAAGTTGGGAAACTGTGCTGAGCGCTGATTGGCCGGCTGGGGTGGAGCCCAGCGCCAGGAGCTGGGTTGTTCCTGCCCCACCCCATAGAGGAGAAGGGTCACTCCCACCCAGCCCTAGAGTTCGAGGGTTCCAGTCTTACTCCAGACCTTTTCCGCCTAGGAGATACCCTCAAAGGAGACCTTAGCCTCATTCAAACCTTCAGCTTCCATGCAGGCCCTAGAAGCAGGGGGAGGTGCAGCTTTATACCAAATCTTTTAAATTTTCTTTTATTTTTACATTTTATTTTGGAGGCAGAGTCTTGCTCTGTGACCCAGGCTGGAGTGCAGTGGTGCAATCATAGCTCACTGCAGCCTCCAACTCCTGGGTTCAAGCCATCCTCCTGCCTCAACCTCCTGAGAAGCAGGGACCACAGGCACACACTACCACACCCAGCTAATTAAAAAAATACATTTTGGCTCGGCACAGTGGCTCACGCCTGTAATCCTAACACTTTGGGAGGCCGAGGCGGGTGGATCACCTAAGGTCGGGAGTTCGAGACCAGCCTGATCAACAAGAAGAAACCCCTGTGTCTACTAAAAAGTACAAAACTAGCCGGGTGTGGTGGCACGTGCCTGTAATCCCAGCTACTCGGGAGGCTGAAGCAGCAGAATCACTTGAACCTGGGAGGTGAAGGTTGCAGTGAGCCTAGATCATGCCATTGTACTCCAGCCTGGGCAACAAGAGCTAAACTCCGTGTCCAGGGGGGAAAAAAAAAAAAAAAGCATTTTGTAGAGACTGGGGTCTTGCTATGCAGCCCTGGCCGGTCTTGAACTTCTGGCCTTAAGCGATCCTTCAGCCTTGCCCTTCCAAAAGGCTGGAATTACAGGCATGAACCACCCCACCTGGCCCCAAGTCCTTTCTGCTTCACTCAGATCTCCAAGTGGGGTCCCAACCTCACCCTGAACTCTCACTCACCTACCTGCTTTATCCTCAGTCCCTTAGCTGCAAAATAGGAGGTACCAGCCTCAGCCCCAAAGCCTTCCTTCCGGTCCCTACGGGGTCCTCATCCCACCTCAAATCTCGTCCAGATCCCAAATGGGGTCCCCAGACTTATCTCAAATTTTCATCTCTCCACTCAAATTCCCAAGTCACGTATCCTGGCCCCAAATTCTCAGCACAGATACCAGAACACAGTTTTCGCTTTTCCCCAAATTCTTGATTTCTCAAATAAAGGATCTCATCTCCATCTCTAACCCTCATCTCCCCCCGACCCCGAGCCAGGCCTCCAAATGGATGCCCGGCCCCAATCCCAAATCCCCACCAAATAGAGGAGTCTGAGCTGGGCGCAGTGGCTCATGCCTATAATCCCAGCACTTTGAGAGGTCGAGGCGGCCAGGTCGCTTAAGTCCAGGAGTTAGAGACCAGTCTGGCCAACATGACAAAACTCCATCTCTACTAAAAATACAAAAATTAGCCAGGCATGGTGGCTGGCACCTGTGGTTCTAGCTACTTGGGAGGATGAAGCGGAAGGATCACTTGAACCCAGGAAGTGGAGGTTGTAGTGAGCCGAGATTTGCCACTGCACTCCAGCCTGGGAGACAGAGCAAGACCCTGTCTCAAAAAAAAAAAAAGGCGTCGAGGGGGGCTGGGGTGTGAGAATCTGGCCCTGTTGCAAAGCAGGGCACAGCCACCTGGAAGGAAGGGGTGGATTCTTGCCATTCTTGGGGTAAGGCAGAGGCCCCCCTCACTGTGCTGGGACCCCCACCTGCAGCATGAAGAGGCCCCCAGGAGGTCAAATAGAGATTTTGTGCAACTGGACAAGCACAGACATGAAGGTTGAGAGGGTGCTTCCCCAGGGAAGGGAGGAGCCAAAAGGCGTATCCTGAGCCCTGAACTGCTCCCTGAACCCTGCTCCCCCCACCCCTGCCCCAGGGGAAGAGTGAGACGCAGGCAGAGCCTCCCTCCCAGCCTCTGACTCCCCAGACAAAGAGTCTCTGTGTCCCTGAAGGGGAGGGGGTGGGGCCCCATTAGGCCTGATGGGGAGTTGGGGGGCCCCCCCAGGGTGGGAGGAGGAGAGGGACTCTCTGTAAGCTGCTCCTCCTCCTCCCTCTCCAGGGGCATCTGAGGCTGAGACTTCTCCAACTAAAAGGCTCTCACAAAATTCCTGCCCTGCCCTGCCCTGCCTTGCTGGAAGTTCTTCCTATAGTCTAACTGCTTCATCTGACCGTTCTACACCCCTTCCCTCCATGAAACCACACTTCTGGATCCACATTCTCTGTCACATTCTCCCATTCTCTCCCTTCAATCAGAGATTCTTCACCGAGAATACAGACACTAATTCCCCCCAGCTTTCACAAAAAATCTCCCAGTACTAAATAATTTACACTCGGCTGGGCGCAGAGGCTCACCCCTGTAATCTCAGCACTTTGGGAGGCTGAGGCAGCTGAACCACTTGAGGTCAGGAGTTCAAGACCAGCTTGGCCAAATTGGTAAAACCTTCTCTTTACTAAAAATACAAAAATTAGCTGAGTGTGGTGGCAAGTCCCAGCTACACAGGAGGCTGAGACAGGAGAATCACTTGACCCCGGGAGGCAGAGGTTGCAGTGAGCCGAGATTGTACCACTGCACTCCAGCCTGGGTGACAAGAGCAAGATTCTGTCTCAAAATAAATAAATAAATAAATTAATAATAATAATTTACACTCATAATAAAAATAAAAATTAAGAAAACAGGCCGGGTGCAGTGGCTCACGCCTGTAATCCCAGCACTTTGGGAGGCCAAGGTGGGTGGATAATGAGGTCAGGAGTTCAAGACCAGCCTGACCAATATGGTGAAACCCTGTCTCTACTAAAAATACAAAAAATTAGCTGGGCATGGTGGGGCGCACCTGTAGTCCCAGCTGCTCAGGAGACTAAGGCAGGAGAATCGCCTGAGCCCAGGAGGCAGAGATGGCAGTGAGTTGAGGTTGTGCCACTGCACTGCAGCCTGAGCAACAGATACTCCGTCTCGAAAAATAAAATTAAATTAAAAAATAAGAAAACAAAGGCCGGGCGCGGTGGCTCAAGCCTGTAATCCCAGCACTTTGGGAGGCCGAGGCGGGTGGATCACGAGGTCAAGACATCGAGACCATCCTGGTCAACATGGTGAAACCCCGTCTCTACTAAAAATACAAAACATTAGCTGGGCATGGTGGCGTGTGCCTGTAATCCCAGCTACTCAGGAGGCTGAGGCAGGAGAATTGCCTGAACCCAGGAGGCGGAGGTTGCGGTGAGCCGAGATCGCGCCATTGCACTCCAGCCAGGGTAACAAGCGAAACTCCGTCTCAAAAAAAAAAAAAAAGAAAAAGAAAACAGTTTACAAATGGCCAAGGCAAGAGGATCGCTTGAGGCCAAGAATTCGAGACCAGTCTTGGCAATTTAGCAAGATCCCATGTCTAAAACAAAATTTAAAAAACTAGCTGGGCATGGTAGTGTGCACTGGTAGCCCCAGCTACTCTGGAGGCTGAGGTGGGAGGATTGCTTGAGGCTGCAGTGGGCTATAATGGTGCCACTGCAGCTTGGGTGACAGAGCAAGACCCTGTCTCTCCAAAAACAGCAATAAAAAGTACCTCTTAAAAACAAACAAACAAACAAAAACCAGTGATGCTTATAAAAGATGTGGAGAAGAAATTTTGGGCAGATGAAGAAAACGAGGTGCAGAGATTTGAGATTCTCTCTGACTCTTCAGGGTCAGTCCAGAATTGACAGTCTCCAGGGGAGGGTGGGGGCTTCTCCCTGCAGGGGATCTGTGGGAGGGGGTTAGGAGGGAGCAGATGAGCTGCGGATGAATGGTGAGAGTCAGGTGCTGCCCGGCAGAGGTCACACGTCCAGGGAGGGGATCAACATGGCTGCTGCACCCCGGACCGTACTGATCTCCGGCTGCTCATCAGGAATTGGTCTGGAACTTGCAGTGCAGCTGGCCCATGACCCCAAGAAGCGCTACCAGGGTAAGAGGTGCAGGGTGGCGCTAGGAGGCGGCAGGGTGCAGATGGCTTCCCCAGCACTGTCTCCCCTACCTATCCCTTCCAGCTGCGCTTGTGGGCTTGGGGAGGACCCAGCAGGCATGGGGTCTTCCTCTCCCTCCAGGAATCATCCCCTCATCGTACAAATATTTCTTGAGCACCTTCTGGGTGTTCTGAATGCTGGCAACACAACTGGGGATGAAATAGATGAAAATCTCAGCCCTCAGGATGCATGTCATAGAGCGGGGGTATGAGAGGGAGGATGCGCGATAAACAGATGAAAAAAAGTTGTTGCTGTGTCTGGTGGGAATATGTGCTGAGAAACAAAATAAAGCAGCCGAGAGTGGCGGGGGTGGGTGGGTGGTATTTTTAGAAGGGTTTCGCTAGGGCACTCCCAAGGTTGGAATAATTACCACCCTGATGCTCACTCCTCCACCTCTCCCCAGATTACTGCTTTTAATGAGATAAGCTTCTTAAGTGCTTCTGACCTTGGGGGTTGAAGGGATGGCCTTCTAGTTCTAGGCACTTGCTTCTCTACAACTCTGACATAAATCCCCGGGACCTGCGTCCTAACCAACCAGGAGAACCCCTGACCCAGACGGAGCACACTGCAGTCAAAGTGGGCAAAGGGTTGTTACTTACAAGGCGGTGACTGGGAGTGAGGGCCCTGCCCCAGTTGGCAGGGCTGCTTCTCCCAGCCCTCTGTCCTCTGTTTTAGAGACACTCACAGCTTTGAGCGTGAGAGCCTGGATGCCAGTGTGCAGGGAAGAACGTGTGTCCCTGTGGGCAGGCAGATGGGTGTATGAACCTGCTGCAGGCTAATGCTGACTGAGCTTTTACAACGCACCAGGCTGCATCCTAAGTGCCCTGCATCCAGGAAGTCATGTAAGCCTCACATCCTGCCTGTGAGGCAGACACTATCAGCCACCCCAATTTATTATTATTTTATTATTTATTTATTTGT